CCACCCACTGCTTCTCAGAACCGAAGCGGCTCACGTGTCCAGTCCATGTTCAGGGCCCAGGCTCCAAATCGGGCATCCCTGCCTGGACAGAGCAGCTGACCGAGCGCATCTGCGCCTCCAGCAATGCTCATAAAGCTCTGGGCACACACGCGTGCGTGCATGTGCGTGTGTGTGCACGTGGACGTGCACATGGGAGAGTAGGGCTGCTTCTGGGCCTGGGCCACGGCTATAGGAGGCCGCTGGACTCGGGTGGAGGCCACTGAGGCAGCTGTGGCCTCTAGCTGTCCAGTCCTGGCTCACGGAATCTACAGCCAGAGAGGAAGGCCATGGCCAGGAACAGGGCTGACCACTCCTGCCCTTCACAGAAACGACATGGCCCTAGCCGCATTCTCACAGCAGGGCCTGGACCGGGGCCCTGGGCGGACTTGGCCTGGCTCTGGCCGCCAGAGGGCTGGGCCCCTCTAGGCAGCGCCTCCTTGGGCCGGCGGGTTAGTTACGGCATGGCGCCAGCACAGCACTGGCACGGCCCCGCCTGGCACCGCCGAGACCAGAGACCTAGCCACTCGCCTCCAGCAGGAGCACGGCCCAGCCATGGTTTTCAGCCAAGTTTCCGGAGGTTCTGTCATTTTAGGTTCCACCACAAACAAACGAGAAGTGACATACAAGCAGACTTCAAAGAGGTCATGGAGGGAACCAGCAGTTAGCGTGATGGCTATGTCGCTGGACTCCCATGCAGTCGATCGCGGTTCGAGTCCCAGACCCAGTGGCTTAAACTCACGCTGGGTGTGTGTGCGTGCGTGCCCAAGATCCCGAGAGGAGAATGGAGGAGAAGGGATTGCGGCGTGGCCACCCCCCCTGGGGGGGGTGATTTCTCACTTTCTGTCTCTGTTTTTCTGGCAAGCACATGTGCCCTATAGCAAAAACCTCTCCAAAAAAAAAGTCATGGAAAACAGATTAAAGTACAAGTTCGTTTCAGCACAAAATAAATAAATAAATAAATAAATAATTTAACTCACGTGTAAGTTTTCACACTCTCCATAAGCTTTTTGAAGACCCTGTACTCTAAATGTTATTAAAAGATAAACTTTTCTCCCTTTTTAAAAACAATTCTTGAACATGTGGGTTTTTCTCTTTAAAAAATTCACGACTCACACACGAGAGCCGAGTGAGGGTGACGCCCCTGACTGGCGTGTGGCAGGCTGACCTGGCACGGGCGCGAGGGGTCCCGAGTGTAATCGGGCATGTCCTGACCAGCTCCTTGGCACCGCACCACAGAATCGGCCCTTAAACGCAGCGTTAGAAACAGCTGGCCCAAAGGCGGCTATGGCTTTGCTATAGGTAACGAGTCTGGCTGTTAAGAAGAGCAGCACTTTCCGGTGGAAACTGTTTCCTTGGGCAAGTAAGGAGCGAACGGCGGTCAGAATAAGCTGCTCCCTGTGCTGAGTTCATCTTCAGACTTGCTCTCAAAACCACCTGTCGCCTCGGGAACCAGCAGTTAGCGTAATGGCTATGTCGCTGGACTCCCACGTAGTCGACCGGTTCGCATCCTGGACCCGGTGGCTTAAAACTCATGCCGGGCGCGTGTGCGTGCGTGCCCAAGATCCCGAGAGGAGAATGGAGGAGAAGGGATTGCGGCGTGACCATCTCCCCTGGGGGGTGATTTCTCGCTTTCTGTCTCTATGTCTCTCTCTGTCTGTCTGGTGAGCGCACGCGCCCTACAGTGAAAATCTCTCAACAACAACAAAAAAAAAACCACCTGTCGCCTCAGGTGGACCCTCCTCATAAGCTAACTTTGCTCAATAAAAAAGTAATCCCTCAATTTAGAGGCACTGTTTAGCAAGCTACGCTGAAAATTCCAGATTCTTCTGAACCTGGGAGGCCGAGGGGGCATGGCTGGGAGGGGAGGAGCCAGGCGATGGCGGGGGACAGGCAGGCGGAGGTGGCCAGGCTGTGCAGCTGCTGCCTGCTCCTGGACCTGTCAGTGTGTGGGGCCGTGGGACCGTGGGGACCGTAGCTGGGCGGCCCGCTGCGGCTGGTGCTGCTCCCAGAGCCAACCATGTCCCGCTCCACATCCAGGGACCCGTGCTGGCGCCGCCAGGGTATTTGCACCACAGACACCGGTAAACCGGGAGCCCAGGTCCCACCTGGAGCCGCGCAGCCCAGCTGGGTGAGGGCTCTGCTGCCCCCACCCTTCCCAGCAAGGCCACAGAGCGTAAGAGTGGGATGGAGCCGAGCCACCTAAGCCGGCGCCTGTGCCCTCAGCCCCCGTCTACACCGGGAGCCCTGTCTTTCTGAGGAACCCATCTCTGAAACGGACAAGGAGGAAGGGAGAATCCGCCGTGATGGGTTTCCAGAGCCAGAGTACGGGACTCGGCCTTCCCGAGCCTGCCTACGGGTCTGGCCGGGGCTGCTGGACCGCGGCACGTGCTCAAGGGCTGCCCGCTGCACGGCAGATCCGAGGGGCTGTCCCGGGGCTGTCCCGGGTCTCTGACTGTCCCTGGACTGGCCCTCCAACTAATCTGTTCTTCCTTGAGGGGAGAACCAGAACTTTGAGACTCCAAAACCCCAGGGCCTGGAAAACTAGGGCCTCTCCGTGAGCAGTCATTCGCTCATGGCCTAATGAAAAAGGAAGGCAGGGAGGGCGGGGAGGAGGGCAGGGAGGAGGGTGGAGAGGACGAAGAGGAGGGCGAGGAGGATGGGAAGGAGGGCAGGGAGGGCGAGGAGGGCAGGAGGGCGAGGAGGATGGGAAAGAGGGCAGGGAGGGCGAGGAGGGCGAGGAGGAGGGCAGGGAGGAGGGTGGAGAGAATGAAGAGGAGGGCGAGGAGGATGGGAAGGAGGGCAGGGAGGGCGAGGAGGAGGGTGGGGAGGGCGAGGAGGAGGGCAGGGAGAGCGAGAAGGAAAGGGAGGAGGGTGGGGAAGGAGGGAGGGCGGGGAAGGAATCGCACGCAGAAAGTCAGCAAGACCCCGGCAACTCCCGTGGCACACTGCACTTGAGTGCCCAAGTGTCATTCCAACAAACTCTCAGTACAATGGAAGTTCTGGGGGGCCCTTGCACAGTTTATGGGGGAGCATTAATCTGTGGGACAAGCCGCAAACACAATCTAAGCACCACCATCAGCAAACTCGTAGGGAGGGCCTTCAGTGTGGACCCCACGGGAACAGCCCGAGATCTGGGACCTGACGCTGCTTCAGGCAAAGCTGCAGACAGGCTGAGCGAAAGGCCTACAGCAGCCCTACCGAGACGCGGGTGTGCGCAGCCGCGCTGGGCCTGCCTCCCCGACACGGAGAAGGGGCCGGGGGTCCCCTCCAGGAACTTCGCAGCACCCTTGAACCAGCAGCACAGTGATTTCTTTAATATTTTTCTCTAAAATTGACTAACATTTCAAAAACCTGAATGACCTCATTACAAAAGAAAACAACCATTGAGAGAACTGGGGTGACCAGCCATACAGACACAGCCCGCAGAAAACACTGACCACGTGCTCCATCTCAGCCAGCTGCTGCCACCTGCGAGCCCGGGACAGCGTCCTGCCCTGGCGCTTGGCAAGTGTCCGGCTGTTAAAGACATGCTGGAACCCAGCGGGGACCTGGTCTGGGCCACCAGAGAGCAGAGAGATTCCTCCGCGGGAGTTCCACCACGCTCCCTCCTGGCCCGGCCTGGGCCTCACAGCCAAGGCTTGCCTGGAGAGCCCTGCGCTGACCCCGGCTGTGAGTGGGTTCTGGGTGTCCTTTGGTGACCTCGAGCCCCTCCTAAGCCGGACCTTCCCTCCAGGACAGTTCCTGGGCAGCAGAGCCAGCCCTCTGCCCTGAGCGGTGGAGTGAGCCGGGCTCAGAAAAGGCAGCTGAGATGGCCAGATGTCACCCTGGGGCAGACCTCCCAGTTCAGGGGCCACAGGCCAGTCTGCCCAGTGGCCACCAGCTGGCCAAGGCCTTGCATTTCACAAGGAGGGGACTAGACCCTGAAGGGGTTTGAGATCTGCCACCTTTGCTCCGTTTCTGTGCCCAGAAGGGCGCAGAGGCAGCCCTGCCTTGTGAGGGTGCCCGGGTCTCAGGGGTTTCGCTGAGGCTCACGATGCCGATGCCGGCAGCAGAGGAGGCTCCGCCCGCTCCCTTCTCTGCGAGAGGCTGGCTCTGAAACCAGGCAGGCAAGACCTCCCTCTCCGGGCGCACACCCCGCCCGTCCAGGCAGTCAGAGAGAGGCTTTCATGGCTTCAGAAGTTCCCCCAGGTCCTCCAGCCGCAGGAGGCTGGCCTGGGTAACTGAATCCGACTTGAGGAAGGAGAAAAAAAAAAAGCACAGTGACCTTTTGTCCCAGCACAAGCTCCGGGCTCCCTCCGGCCCGCGGAGGCGGCCGGCCAGGAGAGTAAGGGATTGCAGATGCGCG